TGACTTTTTTCCCCTTCATAATAACCCAGAACTAAAGTTGTGTTGTTTTACTTCGGCTGCAGAAGTCAAACAATAACTGTTGCATTTTATGGGCTTAATTGGATGAATAGCAACAAAACAAATCAGCTGGAACAAAAGAGCAGGCCGCTGACTGTAAACACACACACGACACACACACACACACACACACACACGACACAAACATGGGAACATCGTTTAAAAGCCAAGTCAGTCATCCAAACTTAATCCCAGCGACTGAAGCTCTTAAAAGAAGCTTCAGTGAAACACAGAACTGGTGGAGCGTCACTGAATCAGAGGGACGCAGGCCTCAGACACACGTTCACAGATAAAAACTCACATAAACACACATAAGCTCTGTGTTGGAAATTCATTGTTACAGTTTGTCAGAATAAATTAGAAAAGTGAATCATTCAGAACKCAGAGGTGCTCTATGAACAAAAAGTTCATCACGTCTGACCACAAATAACGTTTTATTTAAAAAAAAAAACTCTGCTTTAACTAAAGAGTTAGAACATTTTGAATTGATAAGCTTTAACTTTATTAGGTTGAAAGCTCATAGTTAAAAATCTGGCRGCAATCAGAGCATAAAAATACTCTAAAAAATCAGTGTTGGATTTACTYAACCAAGTTCTGTCAACTGGTTTCGCTAAAATGAGTTGAGTAGATGTAGAGTTTTACACATTTAAAGAGTGTAATAATTTTTACGTTTACTAAACTCGCTTCAGTGGAACCAGTTGACGGAACTTGATTAAGTAAATCAAACACTTGTTGTTTTAGAGTGTTTTTATGTTCTTATTTTTTACAGTCGATCCCGTACATTTGTTTTTATATTTGATCTGATATTCTGTTCTTCGWTTTTATTTTACACAATGTTGAATTTGCTCGTCAGCGTTCGTACGACTCAACTACTCACAGAAGATTTGATGTTTTTTATAACAAGAATATGATACAAGAGCCCAAAACACAAGTAAGAAAAGAAAAAATTTAGACATTTTTTTCATTTCCCTAAAAGCGAATCTTTCAYATCCTTAAAAAGTAAAGCAAAACACTGTGATAAAAACAACTCTTATTCTTAAGAATATAAATCTAAAATAATAATAAACAGAAAACAGAAAGAAGTCCAGTTTTAACATTTGATGTGACATCATTATCACCACATTTCTGCGACTTGGAGAGAAAAAGCAGGTAAAAAAAGATGGCTATGAAGCTGTTGCACTATTTAACCTAAAAATATATGTTTTTATGACACATTTAGACATTATTTAAAATCTAAATGACTCTTAGGACTGACCCACATTTTTAAACCAATGTAAAAGTTATAAATAATCAATGTGCAGTAAATAAATATAAATGAGTGTGTTTGTTTCAGAGCTCTGAAACGGGACCCTGAGACCCAGCCAGCTCGCGGTCACATGACTGTGGATTAATTGGACCCTCGGGGTTTCATCACAAATGTTAACGCTTGCACTTTTTCTAATTATGGCAAAACTCCCAAATGTCTGCTGAACAAAGAAATATTGATACTTCCTTATAAATAAACCAACTTCRTCGCTGTCTCAGTTTGATTTGGAGTTTTCATCGACCACATGCGGTCTTTCAATTTGTTTCAAAGCTTTAATTTCTTCTGTGTTCGATAAATATTGAGAATAAAAACTTTGGTACTGAACTCCCTAATTTGGTCTGTTTGCCACAGAAGGCATCTGAGCTGAGTCGTGCACTGATGTGTTTCTGTGCAAAGTATATTAAATCTGCATGAGGATGGTTTATGCTGGAAGTTTCAAACATTTGAACACGAAGCTACAAACAGAGTTCACAATGAAGCCCTTCAGTCACACGCTCACTAAAGTCAGACAAATCTAAGAATCATATTTTAAAATATAGAAACAAAAGTATTTTTCCCTAGTTTTTTTATATTTTTTAAATCGAGGCAGCAGAAAATGCTCATTATTTCTTATTTTCTACAACTTAACTCTTCTCATTTCTACATTTTGTGCTAAGTTTCATATAACAAGACTTATTAAACCTGTAACATGATTTTCATATAAGTACATTTATTTTTAGAAGACTTTAAAACATCACTGGTTTGTTGCAGGGTTACTCGTACAGCCGTCTGTGTTTACTAGCAGCTAATGCTAATCAATCAATCCCTGTTTCATTTCCCTAAAATGT